CTGATAAAAATCAAAGTTTGGGCTGGGTGTGGTAGCTCATGCCTATAATCCCAGCACTTTGGGAGGCCGAGGCAGGCAGATCACCTGAGGTCAGGAGTTCGAGAGCAGCCCGACCAATAGGGAGAAACCCCATCTCTACTAAAAATACAAAATTAGCCAGGCGTGGTGGCGCATGCCTGTAGTCCCAGCTACTTCGGAGGCTGAGGCAGAAGAATCACTTGAACCTGGGAGGCAGAGGTTGTGGTGAGCCAAGATCGTGTCATTGCACTCCAGCCTGGGCAACAAGAGCGAAACTCCATCTCAAAAAAAAAAAAAAAAAAAATCAAAGTTTGATAATACCGTATATTAGGAAGCATGTGCAACAATGGGAATGTTCATATACTGCTGGTGAAATTGTAAACAAATACAAGTGTTGAAGAAAAGTTAAAATTAGGCAGCTCAGCTGAGCGAGGTGGCTCCCTCCTATAATCCTAACACTTTGGGAGGTTCAGGTGGGAGGATCACTTGAGGCCAGGAGTTAGAGACCAGCCTGGCCAACACGGCAAAACCCTGTCTCTACTAAAAATACAAAAATTAGCTGGGTATGGTGGTGCATGCCTGTAATCCTTGCAATTCGGGAGGCTAAGGCATGAGAATTGCTTCAATCTTGGAGGCAGAAGTTGCAGTGAACCCAGATCACGCCATTACACTCCAGCCTGGATCACAGAGCTAGACTCTGTCTCAAAAAAACTAAAAAATTAGGCAGCTAGGTTGGGAGCAGTGGCTCATGCCTGTAATCCCAGCACTTTTGGAGCCTGAGGCAGTGGGATCACTTGAACCCAGGAGTTCCAGACCAGCCTGGGCAACATGGCAAAACCCCATCTCTACAAAAAATACAAAAAATTAACCAGGTGTGGTGGCATGCACCTGTAGTCCCATCTACCCAGGAGGCTGAGGTGGGGGGATCACGTGAGCCTAAGAGGTGGTCAAGACTGCAGTGAGCCATGATAGTGCCACTGCCCTCCAGCCTGGGCAAGATTGAGACTCTGTTTCAAAAAAAAAGTAAAAGCACCCTCCGGAAACCAGTAGGTAAATGTTATTATTTTGCAAAGTCCATAAAAACTGAAAGAATAAACTCAGTAACAGATTAAAAGTATGAAATATAGAAATGAACAAGTTAATTATGCTATGGTGAAAACGTCCACTCTCACAAGTACTCAATATAATGACAATAAAGCAGTCCAGTATATGAAGAAATCACTGTAAAATTTATATAACTTTGCATTAAAGTTATATAAGGGAGAAAATATCCATATTTTTTAGAATTACATAATGAGATTATGCAAGGGTGAAATGACATGAGGTTCTGGATTTACTTGAAATTATCTGCGGTGGGGCGCAGTGGCTTACATCTGCAATCCCAGAATCCGGGAGGGCAAGGCAAGTGGATCACTTGAGGTCAGGAGTTCGAGACCAGCTTGGTCAAGCTGGTGAAACCCCATCTCTATGAAAAATACAATAAAATTTGCCAGGCATGGTGGCGGGTGCCTGTAATCCCCACTACTCGGGAGGCTGAGGCAGGAGAATCGCTTGAACCCGGGAGGCGGAGGTTGCAGCGAGCTGAGATCACACCATTACACTCCAGCCTGGGTAACAAGAGCAAAACTCCATCTTGAAAACAAAGAAAAAAAAAGAAAATATTTGTGCAACAATAGGGGTAGATGAGTGGCATGTAGTTTTGAAAATTTTCACAATGAAAAACAACATTCTATGACTTGTAAAATAAATGAGCGAAAACATTTATTTCAAATAAAAACTAACCATTCTTAAAGAGTACAATGAAATGAATACTACCAAACATTGTGAGTGTCTGAAAGTTTCAGAAATATCTTGTCTCTGAGAATCTATCCTAAGCAAATACAGAAAAATCTATATGCATAAAGTTGTGCTTTTACATAAAGAATGGACATATGCATAAAGAATGGTGCTTTTACAAACAAGCATTGATTAGAAAGCAGCCTAACTATGTAAGTATAAGTACTTGAACTGTACCAAAAGAAAAAAACAGAATTATATGAGAAAATGCATGTAGAAACTATTATATACCTATCTAATCTTCATGGCCAGATCTTTCTGGTACTTTTCTTTCTGAGTTCCTGAGTTCACCTTCCATCCTGCTGTCTTCTCAACCTACATTTCCTTGCCATATCTTCTCCTGCTGTAAACCTCTAGGTATTAGGGTGCTTCAGGTTTCTGTCCTTGCTATATTTATTCCCTAGGAGATTTCATCCAGTCACAAGACTCTATATCTCTATATTGAAGGCTCTCCAAATTTTCCTCCAACGCTGATCTGACCTCCCAGTTCCAGACTTCTATACTGAACTGCCTGCGTGGCATCTATGCTGCGTCCAATAAGCAACTGAAGCTTAACATAAGTGAACCCACCCTTGATTTTGCAACCCCCAAATCTACTCTTTCACCATTTCAGTAATTACAAAGCCCATTCTTCCATAGGCTCTCCCTAAAAAGCATGAATCCTTTTCCTCTTATACTCCAAGACTGAATCCTGCTAACTCTTCCTTGAAAAGATTTCAAACCCACCGCTTCCTTCCACTGCCACTGATAACATTTCAATGGTCTCTGAGCCATCACTGTATTCCAACCAGACTACTATAAAAATCTGCTAAACAGCCACTCTGCTTCCAACCTTGTCTCCTACAAAGCAGTTAGAGAAATCCTTTTAAAACACATGTTGCATCAAGTCCAGGTGCAGTGGCTCACACCTGTAATCCCAGTACGTTGGGAGGCTGAGGTGGGAGGATTACTTGAGGTCACGATTTCGAGACCAGCCTGGCCAACATGGTGAAACACTATCTCTACTAAAATACAAAAATTAGCTGGGCGTGGTGGCGGGCGCCTGTAATCCCAGCTACTCCGGAGGATGAGGCACGAGAATCGCTTGAGCCCAGGAGGTGGAGGTTGCAGTGAGCCAAGATCATGCCACTGCACTCCAGTCTGGGCGACAGAGCAAGACTCCATCTCAAACAAAATACAGGCGCGGTGGCTCATGCCTGTAATCCCAGTGCTTTGGGAGGCTGAGGTGGGCAGATCACAAGGTCAGGAGATCGAGATCATCCTGGCTAACATGGTGAAACCCCATCTCTACTAAAAAAATACAAAAAAAATTAGCCGGGTGTGGTGGCATGTGCCTGTAATCCCAGCTACTCGGGAGGCTAAGGCAGGAGAATCGCTTAAACCTGGGAAGTGGAGGTTGCAGTGAGCTGAGATCATGCCACTGCACTCCAGCCTGGGCAACAGAGCAAGACTCTGTCTCAAAAAAAAAACCAAACAAACAAAAAAATAAGTTGCATCAAGCCATTTCTAGGTGCACAGCCTTCTGATGACTTCTTGTCTTAGAATGAAAAGATTTCCCATGGCCTGTATGGCAGACTGTACATAAACTGACCCACTCTTTCCCACTCCTGTCTCTTTGATCTCATCTCCCACCCACGTACCCCTCTGCTACCAGTCACTGGCCTCTGAGGCTGCTCCTCAAACACAGCCAATGCACAGTTGCCTCAGGCCTTTGAAGGTCTGCGTTCCTCCATCCGGAGCAGTCTTCTGCCTCGTACCCATATACAATGACTTACCGTGGTACTTCTTTGGGTCTCTGCCCAAATGTTACCATATCATTTGGTAAGATATAGTAAATTTCGCTTGCTTCTTCACACAAAATATCATCCTTTATCCCCTTCCTCTACTTCTTATTTCTTTCTAGTATTTACTATTACCTGGTATGTTATATATTCATCTATTTTCATATCTCTCCCTACACTGCGGGGTAGGCTCTGGGAACAGAGATAACACGTTCTTTTTTTTCTTTTTTCCAGGCTGGAGTAAAGTGGCATGATCTTGGCTCACTGCAACCTCCACCTCCCGGGTTCAAGTGATTCTCCTGCCTCAACCTCCTGAGTAGCTGGGATTATAGGCGCCTGCCACCACACCCGGCTGATTTTTGTATTTTTTAGTAGAGATGGGGTTTCATCATGTTGGCCAGGCTGGTCTTGAACTCCTGACCTCAGGCAATTCTCCTGCCTCAGCCTCCCAAAGGGCTGGGATTACAGGCGTGAGTCACTGCACCCAATCACGCATGTTCTATTCATTAATGTAACCTCAGTGTTGAGAATAGTGCTGGGCATACCATAGGCACTCCAGAAACATAAACTAAATGAATGAATGTGCCGTCCTCCTCCTTCATACCAAATCTCTCTTTGCCAGCTCTTACCTTCTCCATGGAGACATAGGCCCTTTATTTCCAACCCTCTATATAAAGTCAATGACGCTCACACCAAAATCTCCCCCTATGACTTCTATGTGGATCAACCCCTCTTCTACATCGTTAGCCCTCGCTTTCTGTTAAGCTCCCTATTTTAACTTCACTTATGGTGGTTCTACTTTGTAGAAGTTATTTGTAGACATGTTCTAGTACTTCTACTAGGCAGTAAGTTCTGAAATTGCTTATTCCTTTTTTAAACTCTGCAGCACCTAGCCGAGTGCCTTATACATGTTAGAAAATCAGTAGATGTTGGTAAAAAATATTAATGAATCAACGAGGGCATAAACCCCATCCCAAAAAAACTTAGTAAAAGAAAATAAGTCTCCAGCAGTGCAGGAAAAAATCTATTTCTGGAGACAGTGATGCTTTTATTAGACTAAATACAAAGGGGGATGAAAAGCTAAGAAGGAAATGGGCCCAAAATATGGATAGAAAGGAATATCACTCGAAAGGGTGGAGGAGGGCACCAGCTGGTTAGAACTGAGAGAGAAGAATAAGAGAAGAAAAGCAGGCAAAGTGTGTTAGGTAAGGGGGAAAGGTAGGATCATTTTGAAAGCTCATGTAGAAAAGGTCTTACATTTGCACAACAGGCCAAAAACCTTTGAGGAGAGTTTCCCAGATAGCATCTAAAAGACGCAGTCTCTCTACTGGCCAAATCACACATTACCTGCTGTGCCTCACTTACCTGGCCACTGGCCTCTTGTTAGCTCTCTGTCAACCAACCAGGGCTCCTTCCCTTGCTCCAAGTAGGAGATCACATTTGGTTTAGAAATAGAATGCCCTGCTTACAAAAGAAGTAACAAAACAAATTTATCATGAGAATATCCTAGAATTCAAATCCAGTCCCTTCATTATAAAGAAAGACATGGCACTGCGAGAAGAGTCAAAGAGAGGTACAACGGACTTGTGAAACATAATAGAAGATGTAAAACATCCCCCAAAACTCAATGCAGCTTCCTTTTTCTAACTCTATCATATTCAGAACATTCCTGTGAGAACAGGATGTCAAAATTCGACTGGTTTTTGAAAGCCAGGTGAGCATTTCACATTGGAGGAAGTAGGCCTTCCAAGGGCAGAATCTAAATTACTATGGACAGATGTCCTTACCCATTGAAACCAGGTTGCTGTAATTCTCCAACATCACATCTCTGTATAAATCTCTCTGATCATCATTCAGGCACTCCCACTCCTCCTGAGAGAAGTCTATGGACACATCACTGAACATCACTGACTCCTGGAACAATAACCACGTATATGACTTGATTAATTAAAAAAAAAAAAAAGCATTTTTGTGAAGGAAAGACAGAAGAAAAAGATTAAGGTAGAGGAAGTAAAACATAGCATATGAATGCCTGGGATGCAGTGGAGGACTGTAATCAAATAAGCACAACTGAATCACTGGGTTTCCATGTCATTCTTTTTCCTCCAAATGAAACTGCCTGAGGACGGGAGGATACCTCCATTATCCAAACAAGGTTGGGAAGGTATAAAAATTCAGCTAAGAGGGCTTTCCCAATTAAATGAAATTGTATATGCAATGCCTCGCACTATACCTGTCATATAATAAATCAACAATACATTTGATCTGTCTCCCTCTCTTTTCCCAAATAGCTGAAAGTCAAATTTCAGAATAAGGGACAAAGACAAGACATTAAAAGCCTCCAGAGTGAAGAGTAGGTCATATAAAAGGCATTGAAAATTAGAGGGGCAATGGAATTCTCAAGAACACCTCTAACAGCGAGAAACAATAAGAACAATTCTTCAATATTCAATATGGAGAAAATAAACTCTGACCTAGACTTTCATAAACAAACTATCATTCTGTTTTGAGTGTTGAGAAAAGACATTTGTAGACATCCAAGGACTCAAGAAGAGTTTCTTCGGAAACTTCTAGAGGATATGCTCCACAAAAACGAGGGAGTAAATAAAAAAAGAAGACAACATAGGATTCAGGAAATAGGTAAAGTCTCAGGAAAACTGTGACTGAGAGAGTAAACCAGACCAGATGGGAACAAGGACACAGGAAATGGGGAAGCAAGTCTCTACATCAAAAGGAACTGATGTGTCTGACCAGAGGGAAAACGTATTGACTGGCCTGTGGCAGTGATACTGGAGATTCTGGATGTAAACACACAAATGACTAAGCAAATGGGGGGAAAGCAATTAACCCCAGGAAAATGAAGGTTTGTGTGGAACAAAACTATGAGCTCACTTGGCAGAGAATAATATTTGCAGCCATAACAAGGTGTATACTGTTGATTTAACCAAAAGCAGTGATATGGTAACAGTCAGGAAAAATGAAAGTGCAGTATGGGAATATGATGTTCCCTTTAACTTTGCAATCAATCAAGAGATAATAACTAAAGTGGGTTTATCAAAAAATGGTAGTAAACCAATTTTCAAGAGTTGCTTGGAGTGGGACTGGTAATGGGACAAAACCAGAAATGAACTACTTCCCTTGTAGACATGTGTAAAATTACTTGTAAAAAATTTGTATCTTAGAAAATAAAATTAGCATATAATTTAAGACTCTGATCCATTCCTATGCCAGACTATTATACAATAATAAATGTTCCTTGTTAAAACAAATACTATTCAAATTTGTTGTAACATAATTTGAATAATATTTATTATAAGCCTATAAATGGTATCTGTTCTTTTGCCTTTAGAAATTCAGGCTGCAGGTGATCTTTAAAGACCTCTCCAACACCGGCCCAATCTTATTTATAACCACCTACTGCCCAGCTGTAAATTCCCCTTATAACTAAGCTACAGAAAATTGGTGAAGGATGATCCAGTTTCACCGTTGGTATTAGTGACATCATTGTTTTTGTTTTTCAAACAGGGTCTTCCTCTGTCACCCAGGCTGAAGTGCAGTGGCATGATCACATCTCACTGCAGCCATGACTTCCTGGGCTCATGTGATCCTCCCACCTCCGCCTCCCGAGTAGCTGGGACTACAGGCGTGCACCAACAGGCCTGGCTAAGTTTTGTATTTTTTGTAGAGACGGGGTCTGCCATGTTGCCCAGGCTAGTCACCTGGGTTCAAGCAAACCACCAGCCTCAACCCCCCAAAGTGCTGGAATTACAGGTGTGAGTCACCACATTTGGCCACTGACGTCAATTTTTCATGGATGCTTAGTGAGGTGTGAGAGCTTTGTACGAACCACTAGTCACACTCTCGAACATAAAAGGCTCATTAACCAGGAGGCCTTGCCCTGTACTAGGACTGAAATCAAACAAAACCACAGCATGTATTTTGTTATTGGAAAACCCAGGTCTACGGAGCTAATGAGGGCTTTTCCCTATAAGGTGCCCCTAATTACTTGTTTTCATCCCATCAAATCACTGTGCAAGCAAATTAGATTCATATTAATTCAATGTGGGGAACACATTTCTGTCCTATCAGGATTTTTGGTAGAAGCCTGAGATAGGAGATGCTAAAGGACTTCGTAAACGAGTATGTAAACATTGTTTAAAAGCGGGGGTAACTGGAGAGGAGACTGGGGTTGTTGAGGAGGAAATGCATGTCCTTTTCCTGACAGGGGGCCCTGGAAACCAGTGTAAAAAAATTATTCCACACCTGATCTGGGTCAGATCATTTTTACATTACATAATTCTTTATCTCTTTATGGAAAGAAATAAGTATTCTTGATGCAATTGATAGGGGATTTTCTGATGGACATTAATCGAAATTAAAACTTCTTCAGAGAAATTTGTTATTCAACCACTTGGCTGACTAAAACGTAACTGTGAGTTAAGAATATAAATTTTTTGCTGGGCACAGTGGCTCATGCCTGTAATCCCAGCTCTTTGGGAGGCTGAGGCAGGTGGATCGCTTGAGGTCAGGAGTTCGAGGCCAGCCTGGACAACATGGCAAAACCTCATCTCTACCAAAAATACAAAAATTAGCTGGGTGTGGTGGTGGGCGCCTGTAATCCCAGCTACTGAGGAGGCCGAAGTAAGAGAATCACTTGAACCCGGAAGGCAGAGAGGTTGCAGTGAGCCGAGATTGTGCCACTGTACTCCAGCCTAGAAGACAGGGCGAGACTCCATTTCAAATTAAAAAAAAAAAGGGGGTGTGTGTGTAAATTTTCTAACGATGATTATCTAATCAATTCTTTTTTTTCTATGAATTGGCCTGTTAGAGATCCTTTCCTTTACAGCAAAATTCCGGCATTGCTCATAACCAAACTTTCTGAAAGGTGTTGTTTTTCTAACATCAAAAAGCATCATAATGAGGAAAACAAATGTTTACAGGTACTAGAGGTAAAAATCACTCTATCTGAGCAAAAGGAAACAGTATCTCACCTGAGCCATGGCTCTGATATTTGTAGAAAAGGACCTTCTCTTGGCTCTTCTTTTGGAGAAGAGTAGAGCTGGGAGAGGCAAAAGAAGATAGATGAGACCCCACTTTCCTCACAGCTCCGGCCCCGAATGATCATTTCCCTTCTGTTCATGCTTCAGAAATGCTTGCAGGGTATCAGTGAGGAGAATGGGCAAATGTCTCCATCATCCCTAGCTTCAAAGATACCAGGCTATAACTGGAACACGATGGATTAGGGCAACTCAACATGGCTTGGAGAATATATGTTTATATACACACACATACACACATATAAAGATTTTTTTAACTCATATTATACACATTACTTATACACATTGCTATTTTTACTTAATGTATCTTGGAATGAGGTCCCAATGAGTACATTGTGTTACATAACTGGTTTAATAGCTACACTGTAGTCCATTAAATGGATATAACTTAACTTTTTAATTTTCCTTTTGAGACAGAGTCTCCATCTGTCGCTGAGGCTGGAATTCCGTGTCCTTCTGCCTCAGCCTCCTGAGTAGCTGGGACTACAGGCGTGTGCCACCAGGCCTGGCTAATTTTTTGTATTTTTAGTAGTGATGGGGTTTCACCGTGTTAGCCAGGATGGTCTCGATCTCCTGACCTTGTGATCCGCCCGACTCTACCTCCCAAAGTGCTGGGATTACAGGCATGAGCCACTGCACCTGGCCATAACTTAATTTATCTAACCAATCTGTGGCCAATCATCATTTAGGCTTTTTCTAGTTTTTCATTATAACAAACAATGCTGTAATAAATATCCTTGTGTATGTATCATTTTACTCATATATGAATTCTTCACAATTAATTCCTAAAAGCATAATTGCTCAAAGAGTATACACATTTTAAGTTTGGATATACCTAGGTCAAACCAGTTTTCTTTTCTTTTTTTTTTTTTTTTTAATTTATTTATTATTATTATACTTTAAGTTGTAGGGTACATGTGCATAACGTGCAGGTTTGTTACATATGTATACTTGTGCCATGTTGGTGTGCTGCACCCATCAACTCGTCATTTACATCAGGTATAACTCCCAATGCAATCCCTCCCCCCTCCCCGCTCCCCATGATAGGCCCCGGTGTGTGATGTTCCCCTTCCTGAGTCCAAGCAAACCAGTTTTCAATGTGCTTGGATTGTACAATCACGTTACAAGTGCTAACAAAAAAACAACTCCTTTGCTTAGTTTGAGAAGACTTTTGGGGTTAATCGGTCTTGACTTAAGATAATTGAAACCCAGAAAATAAAAAATAATATTACTGAAACCTCAGGAAGATATTAAAATTAATAACAGTAACAATAGGAAGGAATTAAAAAGTATAATGTAGAAATGAACTAAACTCACATCACTGATATTTTAGAATAGCTTTTAAGTGTAAGTGTAGCAATAAACTTGTAACAATTCTACGTATTCTTTTTTTTTTTTTTTTTTTGAGACAGAGTTTTGCTGTGTCGCCCAGGCTGGAGTGCAATGGTGTGATCTCTGCTCACTGCCACCTTCACCTCCTGGGTTCATGCAATGCTCCTGTCTCAGCCTCCTGTAGCTGGGATTACAGGCGGGTGCTATCACACCTGGCTAATTTTGTGTTTTTATATTTTTAGTAGAGATGGGGTTTCACCATGTTGGCCAGACTGTTCTCCAACTCCTGGCCTCAAGTGGTCCGCCTGCCTCGGCCTCCCAAAGTGCTGGGATTACAGGCGTGAGCCACACCATCTGGCCAATTGTATGTTATTCCTTTTTTTTTTTTCTGGAGATGGAGTCTTGCTCTATCACCCAGGCTGGAGTGCCGTGGCAGGATCTTAGCTCACTACAACCTCCACTTCCCGTGTTCCAGGTATTCTCCTGCCTCAGTCTCCTGAGTAGCTGGGATTACAGGCTCCCGCCACCATGTCCGTCCCAATTTTGTATTTTTAGCAGAGATGGGGTTTCACCATGTTGGCCAGGTTGGTCTCAAACTCCTGACCTCAAGTGATCCTCCCACTTTGACCTCCCAAAGTGCTGGGATTACAGGTGTGAGTCACCGCACCCAGCCTTGTGTGTATTCTTTATAAACATCTTCACTTTAAGATGTTTAAAGTGCCTGAAAGAATAAGTTATACTAAAGGAAGACTACATTGTTTAAGGGGAAGAACTGAATTAGTGATCAACATTTAAATGTTTATGAAAACTTTCCTGTTTTGCTTATCAGCTACAAGAACTTAATAAACTTAAAATTATACAAACTATAAAGAGCACTATTATTCTCTATGCACCAAGCTTCCTGATCATTAAACAATTCATCAATTATTTCATGTAAAACTGACCACCCAGAAAGTAGCACCATGTTGTCAATTACCTCACGGTTTCCTCTACTCACAGGCACTCACTCACTGTACTTCCCCAGATGAATACCAAAGGAATACAAGTGTCTCTTCTTTAAAACCTAAATGCACCCTTTGATATTATTATTATTACTGCTACATGTTAAGCTCTTAGTATTCTTTTATCAACCAAATAGCCTATGATATATAATAGCCAGGCATCGTGCTAGATACTAAAGAGTCAAAAATTATCCAGAAAGATCTGGGAACAGAGTTCCTTCTTCTATAGTGCTCACTTTAAGCCCTCCTTTCTGGTCTCTCCGCCTGGTCTTCCTCTGGTTAAAGGGATGTCTTCAAATGCTGTACCTTCCAAGCAGGATGGTATGAAACATTCCCACTTCAACAGCTCCATACCATGCTTGTTGCATTCTCAACACTCCTTATCTTTGCCCTGGAGGGCAGCCTCCCAGACTGAATTTTTGCATCAGGGGATCTACTCCTCTCTTTTAAATTCAGCCCTCTTTAATGTAAAAAAAAAAAAAAAAGTCTTAACGAAATGAGAAAGAAAACTTCCTCAACTTAATGAGTAGCATCTACAAAATACCTACTGTTGGGAAAGACAGTCACCGTGGGTCTCTCACATTCTTAGGCATCTTGCTGGGTATGCCTAGAATGCAAGATTCTAACTACTCATTTCCCAGGGTTATTTATGCAGCTGATAACCATGACAGATGAGGTAAGAGCACAAACAGCAGGCTTGCTTACTGCTGACTATAAAAGCAATGGATTATCCAGGCTCAGTGTTCCTCAGTGGCTATGCCCATGCACTGCATGAATAGCATCCATATAGACCCTCATGTTGTCCCCATGGGAGCTGAGAGAAAGAGGAACTGATGAACATTGATGCCTATGCTGCTTGCTGTGCCATGAGTAATAAAGTCTTTGTCTCTGATCCAGGAGTCTCATGTTTTCTGCCAGCATTCATGAAACTAACAGGCTAATGTATTAGCTTGTATGTAGGAAAATATCAAATCCTAGAGTTAATATTATACCTAATGTTGAAACATGTCCGGAGCTGCGCGCCCCGGCCATGGCAAGTAACTATTGACGATTAAACGCCTGAGCGCTATTCATTTCCACCTCTCACCTCCTTCCTAGATTTGTCTTTTTCCCCTGTATTAAATACCTCACACAAGATGGCGCTCTTCCTGCTTCTTCTTCACCCATCTTTCCCATGCGTGCGAAAGTTGTTACTTTATAGCGCAGGCGCAACATGACCTCCGACCGTTGAAACCGAAACCTGCCTGGCCACGCCCTCCGAAATGAGATCATTTCCACCTTGGCCCAACCCCTTCCTCTCCAAGTGTATATAAGGCACTGCATTACCGCCATTAAACGAGACTTGATCAGAGCACTGTCTTGTCTCCATTTCTCGTGTCTCTTGTTCCCCAAATTCCCACTCCCTCCTCCAGGGCCTACTTCGACGATCCCGCGGGCCGGGATAGAAACACTGAAAAATGTCCCCCTGAATCCAGGAAAAAAAGAATAATGTGTATTATCATCATTTCTTTTTAACAATGTACTAAAGGGCTTGGTCAGTACAATAGGGCACGATGAAGAAATAAAAGGTACAAAGATTGGTAGGAAAGAAATAAAACGATCATTATTCACAGATGATAAGTTGCAGACATAGAAAATCCTAAATAATCAATAAACTCTTAAAATTAGCAAGTGAATTAAATAACATGGTCTCATATAGGGCCAATAGACAAAAATCAATTGCATTTCTAGTAACGAGTAATTAGAATTTTTTTTAAAATGTAAATACTCTTCAGAGTTTTGATAATAAACATCAAATACCCAGGTATAAAGCTAGCAAAAAATGTTGCTAACAACGACAACAAATTGGTAAGAGAAATTAAGGATCTTAACAAATGTAGACATATAGCATATGTACTATAGACTGAATATTGATGTCAATTCTCCCAAAATGAACACAGTTTTTGTTTTTGTTTTGAGATAGGGTCTTGCTTTGTCATCCAGGCCGGAGTGCCGTGGCACAATCAAAGCTCACTATAGCCTTAACCTGAGGGGGTCAAGCGATTCTCCCACCCAAGGCTGCTGAGAAGCTAGGAGTAGAAGCACACCATCAAGTCCAGCTATGTGTTTGGGGTTTTGTTTCTTTGTTTGTTTGCGTGTTTGCTTGGTTTTAGTTTTTTTTTTTTTTTTTTTTTTGTAGAGACAGGGTCTCACTATTTTGCCCAGGCTTGTCTTAAACTCCTGGGCTCAAGTAATCCTCCAGCCTTGGCCTCCCAAAGTGCTGGGATTACAGGTGTGAGCCACTGCATCGGGCCCCAAAATGAACACATAGATTACGTAAACCAAACCCCAGCAAGGCTTTGGGGGGTATAAGGTAAAAATTAGCAAGTTGATTCTAACATTTATTTGGAAATTGGAAGAGCTTATAATAGCCAAGATAGTTTGGAAAAGAAAAAAAGTAGGAGGACTAAAACTACAGATTTCAAGACAGCAGTCCATAGAAGAGAATAAAACCAAACAATATAGAGTCCAGAAAGACAGCCACATAGCCACATATATATACTGTCCACTGATTTATGAAAAAGACTCCATGCAACCTACCTTCCTTCCCTCCCTCCCTCCCTCCCCCTCCCTCCCTCCTTCCTTCCTTCCTTCCTTGTCTCACTCTGTCACACAGGCTGGAGTGCACT